TACGGAGTACTTGCCACAGATGTCTATCAGGCCATGGGTGCTGATTGAAAGGGAGTCGGTCTACCGTTTACAAAGCGGGGTGCCACGATTTCCAAGAAACCAATTCCACCAACGACGTGCCATTTTGTCGATCGAACTAAATCCTGATGTCAAAACCACCATCTCCACATCCGGCATTCGACCTTCCGCTTAAACGTTATTGCGGAAGCCCTTGAAACTTGTACTATTTACCAGTAAGTTTACGAGCCGCAAAGGCACGGGGTCACAAGTCACAAGTGTCAAGCCCCCCCGTGGCTCGAAGAAAGAACACCCACAGCCGTTGTCATTTCAAATTGTGACATCTCCGCCAGAATGATCTTCCGGGTGATATATTGGATCAAGTTGATGTGGATGGATAGAGAGCATGGGAAATAGAATAGGCGGCTTTTAGACCGTAAGTGGCTTGTCCAGACCGTAACCTGGTGCTCGAAAGCATGCTTAGTATTCTGAATCACATATAGCACATAAGAGTGGTGGACAAGAATCAGGATAGAAGACGTATCGGGGCAAGCCGAATTAAGAAATATATGACCAGTCTAACTCAAAACACACGCCGCATCCAATGTGGCCAAGTAGAGCTCAATAACAGCCAAGTGGTCGCTAACTCGAACGTAGCCAACGGCATCGATAGAGGACAGAGGGCCTCTATTTCCAAGGTAAGCGGAATACTTGTTACCGGCGAAAGTCACCTCTGTTCTAACAGCGAAGCCCTTGGAGTGCGCCACTTCTGTTTCAATTCGGCTTGGAGGCTAACGAAGCTCAATACTTGTGCTATCTGCTTGGACAGTCTTTCATACGGTTGGGAAACTTCACCCATTCCGGTGCCATCCTGATTTCCCACATCATACCACACTCACACAGTCTTAGCTTCGTCCCTCGAAATACTCGCAGCCCTCTCCGCTTCTTGCTCGCGCCTTTGCTCTCGGATGTCCCTGACGATGCCGCGCTCGAACGTGTACAACGGCTTCAACTCCGCAGACTTCTGCCAGAAGATATAACGTTTGATGAACCACGGTAGCCATGTGCCTGTCTGGTAAGACATGAATCTGCGCGTTGGAACGGCGAAGATGTAGTCGAGTTCTTCGAGGGTGCGTTGCTGTGGAGCATTTTGGTCAGTAAATCTCTGGAAAAGTGAAAGGATATGATAGCTCACCTTCGTCTCAGGAACCCAGAAGAAGATCATAATCAGTGCCAGAATGTTCAAGCCGGCAAAGAAGCCGAACGCGCCGGTGGCGCCAAAACTGCTCAGGATCTTTGGAAATGTCAAGCCCAAGACCGCAGCCCAGAATAGACAGGTGGCAACCGCCCATCCCATGCCGACCTCACGGTGTGAGAGAGGGAAAACCTCAGCCGAGTACGTGAACGGCACTGGACCTTCGCCAGGTGAGTAGAAAGCAGCGAAGAGGTACACGAAGAGTGCGATGACGCCCAAGTGAGCACTGCTCGATCGCGGGATGTAAAAGGCAAACCCTGCGGCAAGGAGGGTCCAGGCCATGTTCGGGAACGTGAACAATAACAGAGCACGCCGGCCGAATGTGTCAATTGTGAGAAATGCCGGAATGGCAAACAGGAAGTTGACCGCTCCAAAGCCGAATGAACCCAACAGCGCCTCGAAGTCAGACGCTCCACCTTCACGGAAGATGGTCGACGAGTAGAAGGCCATAATGTTGATGCCACACATTTGTTGTGCGATCATGACTGTGAAGGAAGCCAAGGTAGCACGACGAACGCGAGGCATGGTGAACAACTGCATGAATCGTGAGACGTATGTAGACTCGCCGACAATGTCGTGCTCGATCTCGATCTGTGTACTGATATAGTACAAGTCTCTCGCAGCGAGGAGAGGATGATTCCTAAGCTTGAGTAGAGATTGATATGCTTTACTAGGTTTACCGTGCTTGATATACCATCTCGGACTCTCTCTGTTCGGGTGAAGCGTTAGATTCAGAATCATTGAACACACCCAAGGACACCAAGTGGTGGCAGGGCTCGGAAACTCTCAATGAAGCCATCAAAAAGACTCGGGGCTCGGACTTACGGGCAGAGAAACACCATCGCAGCAAGAGGAATGGCAGGAATAAAGGCCGAGCCAAGCTGAAGACGCCAGCCAATGTCGCCGGCATTCCAAACAGCCAAGTTGAAGGCGGTGCCCAGAAATATTCCAAAAGCGGTCCAAAATTGCCAAGTCATCACAAGGGCGCTGCGAGCAGATGTCAGCTAACGCGGCGTTAACGGTCGGAGCAACGGGGAGCTCACCCTCGAATTGCGGCCGGCGAGTTCTCAGCGGCGAACACGGGGGTGGTGGCGCCCTTCAGACCCATGCCGATGCCCATTAAAACACGTGTGGCAAGCAGCTGTTCCCAGGTTTTGCAAAATGCACCACCGATGGGCGTTGCAATCAGAAAGATAGCAGAGATGAAGATGGTGCCTCGTCGGCCTAAGTAGAAGTTGCAAGGATCAGAGAGCCAGCAGCCTAGGAAGGCACTGCCTATGTAAGGTGCCGAATTGACAAGCCCAATGATCCAGAAGTCTCTCTCGTAGCCGGGCTGGCCCTCTGGTGTATCAAGGCCGAAGGCTTCCGGGAACGATAGATTGGCCCCGTTAGTTCCAGTTTGATCCCAGCCTTGAACTGCGGCGCCGATAGAACAGACAATGACGGTCATGTAGAGCTTCCAAGGATGTTTCCATTTTCTCGAAACCTCCGTGCGGAGGGCGTCCTTCTCTTCTTCAGTAAGGAATGCAAGACTCTCAAAGTGACCAGGGTTCTGCGCGACTAAGGCGCCCTTCTTAATCAGCTCGATTTCAGAAGCCAGACCCGCACGGTTTGCAAAATCTTCAACCTGTAGGTAGGGCATTAGTCAATGCTTCCTACTGAACATTGCCAGTGAACGAGCTTCCTTACGTCAGCCAACAATTCTTCCCGAGGGATATCAGCGAGAGGATTGGAGATCCTGTTCAAGCTTAGCCGGAGTATACGAAGACCAAGGGCGCAGCGTACTTCGCATCCAAGTTCTTGCCTCTGTTGAGATCCGCAATAGAAGAGCGCCGGCGCTCCGGACCTAGAGATTTTTCATGGTGATTCGCGATGTGCCCATTGTCGAAGCTGCTGGTGCCCCTAGCGTCCGACATATTGGAGTGTTTAAGGTCCGTCACTATGACGGTGAGTATATCTCAGATGCCTTGGAAAGTTGAAATCGGAAGAAAGAATTGCTGGGTCCCGTCTTTCTCATATACACTGTTCATCCTGTTCAGTTGTGGGGACCCCGCCCGCTGATCAAGTTCACAGTAAGGCGTACAGACCATGGTGACATCGTCCCATAGATCACAGAGAGTTTGCAAGATAAAGACCCCTGATGAAACTGCTTTTTCGATCATCCATTGGCAGGTATTGGGCTTCTGGAAGCGATTGCAAGCATAGCGGGAGCCACTTCACCTGCAGGCAAAGCCCTTGGCAGCGGAGAAATCTCCACCTCCCCAAGGAAAAAAGCATGCGGGTTGAAATTGGCAGATGTCATTTGGTGTTGCCTAGAAGTATGTCTAAGTGACCTTGATGTGCTTGTTTCCCTGAGACCGACTAATGAAAGTTTACATAGGCTCCAGGACTCCTCGTCGTCTTATACACAACTAAGGGTGAATTTTCAGTTTGCGGCCTTGGAAGAGCAATCTCAACAATCAAGGCTGATACAACTGGTAGACACTTGTACGGTTTCAGTGGACTGGGAGCCACCGCCAAAACTTTGACCAAAGATTGGATAGGCGGCGAGTGGTAGAGTGGAGGAAAAGAAGACGGATTGCCGCCAAGATGTAACAGCGGGAATGGGCTGCCAAGGCGCTCGGTGGGTGCCAAGGGCGGAGATCATCCTTGGCCTGCTCGGCGGGATCTGGAGATTCGCCCTCCGGGATACCAAAGCCGACGGCAGCACTTTTTCTGGAGAGGCTACGTCACCTTCGACGTGAAGGGACAGGAGGGGGGGTGGAGAATGCTTGTCATTGCCGGGAAGATGTAGAGTAGCGCTGGAAGGTCCCCCGAATCTGGACTGCAGAATGCGCTGGTTAGCGTAGGCGGCGTAGATGGGGAGTTGGATTGATCAATGGCAGAAAAAAAGACCAAAGCCTCAGCATCCAAGAGAGCAAAAAGTGAGATTGCTCTTTGATGTTGTCGAGGTTGGAGTTGCCGACATGCAGTTGCAGACCGTCGTTTGAGGGGCGGAAAATGGTCATGCCCATGATGACAGTACGGGGTATGGCACCCGACATAGGCTCTAGCGACGCTAGATTAACAATGGATAGAGGAAGGAGCTGGCTCGTTGGATTCAGTTGGAGGAATGAAACGCGGGTTGAGAAGAAGTGTCGTGTTCAAGTATGTCATATTGGGCAAGTTTCAGTAGGCAACTTTGGCTGAGAAAGGCTGAGACAAGGTGCATGTGTACTGTAGCTTGCGCTGTCAGGGAAGACTGCAGTAGAACTCCTACATAACTCGAGATGCCAATGTGCAAGTGCTCCCCAATCATCAAAGTCTGATCCCCTCGATATCTCGGCCTCTGCTCACAGGATAGAACCAATACCTCCAATGCCTCCAATGCGCAGTTCGATACACTCACAAGATGCAACTCTGAGCCCCGTGCTTTTCGCTGACCGCAATATGATCCATACTGCCCCTTCCTGCCATCTTCGATCGTACATTTTCGCTCCGTCTAGCACGCCATTGGTCCCAAATCTAGGCCTCAGTCAGAGAACCCTTTTCATTCGTCTTCCTCATCTACTTCACCCCCTCTTGCTGCTTTCTCGTAGATCTCGAATTTCAGCAAAGGTGGTACCGCTCACATTCCAGACGAGCACCTGCGCAAAGGCGAGCGGTGAACCAGACATGAAAGCGAAAGATGACTCATTCCTTTTGAGACAACTGCATAACAGTCGCTGTGCCTCAGTGGATTAGATTCCGTGGAGGTGCATGCGATAGGCTAGGTTGGTTTTGCCATTTTGCATGGTATCTCGACCGTGATGTTTTTCTGCTCGATGGTTTTTGTTGCCTTTTTGATGATGTCCTGACCCAAAACGTCATCCTTGCCCAGCGCCGTGAGGAGAATGTCGGTCTCGTTCGACGGGACATTGCTATTGACCACGTCCATGACATATATGAGTTCTGGCATTACCACTGAGCGCTCCTCATCATCTTCGGCATCATCGTAGTACTGTCCCAGCTGAATAGGCTTTACCCTTGGGTAGGGCTCAAGTAGTGATTGTTCCGGTCAACGTGGGAAACAGTATAAAGTCCATCGGACGGCTAGGAGGCAGAACAATCGGGTCTCTCCTATCCACTGGCAAGGCTTCGGAAGAAAGAGCTCCGCACGGGGACTTGATGGCTGCGTAGAAGAGCCAGAATATTCCACGAACCTCTTTTGAACGTCTTTGCAGACCTTTAAAAAAGCAAAAGGATTCGAAGATTTAGATTCGAGGGGTGAGATATCTCCTGTCTCGTTTATGAAACGTCTTTCGCGTTCGATTTTGCCGAGGGCAAATTCATATATTTTGAGCCAAATATCTGCTGGAAGTGTTAAGAATGTGACCGGTTTGTCTGTGGACGCCTCTAGCGAGCCGAAGGCGATACAGGTGCCATGATGCCAATAAGAGAGTTTGTTGTTTGGGAGTCTGGTAAGTCGAGCAGAGGAGTTGACAAGAGCTCACAAAGTAGTGGGATGAGGAGACAGGAAGAAAGGGTTACTTAAGAGGTTGAAGGCAAGGAAAGAGACACGAACATGGGTGACAATAACCTGGGTCTTCGCTACGAGGCTTCTTTCACTTCACCGACGGGGTGGGAATGGACCGGAATCAACAAGGACTTATACTTGAAACTGACAGTAGGTGCTTTGCACAAAGTATATATACTGAGAGATGATGGAGATCTCAGCCATGGAGAGGTGGAGGGCTCCATCTTCACAAGTCTCCGGATGAACGATGACGCTCGAGTAGTCAAATGCAAACTGGCAGATATCCCAGGTCGTGTGACATAATCACAGAATTTCCATTTCCAAACAATTATCATTTAATTTGGTTTCACCTATCAAAGTCTGTGACATTGCTAGACACTCGTTATTACGACTAGCTGCCTAGCAACACTGCATCCCTATACCGAGCGCATGGTAATATGCATAGTGGGTATCTCTGAGACATTAAGGACAGCCTCTTTCGCCGTTTTCGCCTGCTGACTCCGCATGAATTTCAGATCCGGATGTTGATCAACCGTTAACGGGTTATGTGTTTCATCCTGATGCTTCACCGCATCCTCCGTCTAGGCACGACTGCGCCGGTACCACGGGCGGCGTACGTATCTGGCAGCCTCGGTAAGCATATACTGACTCCTATGAATTCTTGTGGTCAATCTTACGCTCCGTCAGCGGGAGCTGCCGCAACAGTCTTGCGCCTCTCGCGATGAACGAACCAGAGGCCTACCAAGGCGCTGAAGATCCAGGAAATCGCAGATAAGAAAGAGAACGCCTCAGCAGACCTATAGCGACCGCAGAATCCGTGGAAGCTGATCTGATTCCAGTCGAAGGTGTCTCCATCACAGCTGGTGCCGTTCGCCCATTCGACGAGGAGCCCAAAAGAGGCGAACCAGGCAAACGAGAGGATGATATCCATAGGCCCTGTTTTAAGAGCAATCGTTTATTAATGTGTATTCCCTTACGCGCCATATTATGTTGTCTGGGGCTCACAGTGAAAGAAGCCGCCTGCGAATGGGAGCAGCCAGAGTAGACCAAGAAGAAGAGAGATTCCAGCCACAATTTCGATGTAGATGAGACGCGCAAGGGGCCAACCGTTGCCGTGGCGGTAATCATCTAGGTAGGAGCCGACGATGCCCGCAACGACCTGAGCACAATTAGAGAATGATGGCGGGATGGGACGAAGCTGCACTTACACCAGCGAAAGCGAGCTCACAAACACGCAGGCCTATAGACACGATTCTGGACACAACAGGCATTTTGATGATGGGTTGATGGGCGTCCTGTAAGGGTTTCCTGGAGAGGGAGAGAGGAGAGACACCACAAGATGAAAAGATACTATCCCGAGATAGAGACAAGGTCAGAGGAGAAATGCCTACCAGAAGAGGGAGAAGCGGCACCTTAAGAGTGAAGAGTGGTCGGTGAAACTAGGGTGCGAGGTGGTAACAAGGCGACACAGATATTCCCCATTTGCCAGCCACCGTTGGTGCCGTCATCGTAGACCAGCACTGTATTCGTTGCACAGAACAGCCATCCATCCCTTGCCTTGATTTTGGGGCACGCCACATTGTATGCTGTCCTTCCCAGAGTCCAAGACCCTGGCGCGTGACATGAAACGCGTTGAGAAGACCAGACAAGACGTCATTGGGAAGTTGCGAGAGGAAAACATGCTACCAAAACCGGGCAGAAGGCTTGAGGCTCACCAATCCCAAGATGATCACGGACAGGATTGACAAGCTGGCAAGGCTGAATGTGGTGAACGAAGCATTGAGAGACAACAAAACTGGTAAGCGAGCCGCCGGCGGGTGGAAATCAAGTCCATTGCAGGTCGGGAGGTGTCAGTTGTCACGAGGTGCATGACGTAATAATACCCACGAGGCGCTTGTTCTCAGCCTCGTCTCAGTCATGGTTCCCATCTTGCCATCTTGCCACCTGCGCCGTAATGTGCCTGTTGAGACTGTGCTGGATAATGGATAGCACTTAGTGTTCCCGCTCGGCGCCCAACTCATTCTGGTCAACCCGCAAAACAGAATCCCCCGACCACCCGGCCGACATCCTTTCCTTCCTCATAACACAAACACGGCGTTGCTCCCGATCAACGCCTACCCTGTTTCTCAGCTCCTTACCCTTCCGACTCCTCACCTCCCCTCTCTCGCTTTTGTCCAATGTGTGTTCAGTCCAACACCCTCGCCTTCTCCTTAACCTCGTTCCCAAAGTCAAAGGTCCCGCCAAACAGGATCTGCCTGCTCGTATTCAGAATGATATCCGTGATCATGACCGTACGTCCAATCGCATCCCTCCATTTTTCGCCAAAGCCGCCCACGTTCATGCGTGGGTACATATCATCGCTCATCAAGTCCGGATTCTCTTTCACTTCTTCCGCCTGCGAAAGAGCCAGGGCCGGTGATATCTTTTCTGCATCTGGCGGAAGGATAGGGAGAAGGTACTCCTTGTAGGTTCTCAATTCGAAGTCAGTGACGTTGTAGAGTGTCGGATGGGTTTTGGTGCGGTCAGGAAGGCCGGCGGGGGTAAGATTCATGGCTGGGTGAGAGAGAAGAGCCCGGATTAGAGCTGCATGTTGGGACGCAATCTCAAAGCGTTCTCCCGGAGAAGGAGGAGTTGAGGCCATGTTCTTTGATACCCCTGAATGTTGAACCACACGGGGAATGATCAAACTGAGCTGCGAGATGATGCGCGAGCGAACATCACGATGTGTGCTAAAGAGAAGAACTGAACACAGAGGACAGCAATAGTAGCTGCGGTCCGTAGGGAGTAGTCACACTTGGGTGTTTTCGGCCAGAGACAGGAATTGTAACTCGGTGGGGTGATGGGAGGGTGGGTTTTACATATTATTCTGTCTAGCTCGCGCCTGAAACGCGTAAGTAGGGCGCGTTCAAGTAGCCAAGGAATCGACATCAAGTGCCAGAGACAACTCTCACCCCTTTGTTTCTTCCCTTGATTGCCTCTGGCAACTCCTTCGTTGCCCTGGATATCGTCGATTGTGCTCCCGTACTTTTGCGCGAGGCTTTGTTATACTCGAAGCCCTGTTCGAAGCTTTAGGGAAACGCTTACGCACGTAAATGAGACCCTTGTCCCCTCCTGGACCTCCGCCCCCAGACCGGGGCCAGATGACTAACGGGCGGTATTGGGGTCTGCAATGCTTTGCTAAGGTGCGGTGTACCGAGTACCCATTAGCCTATAACGCTTTCGTGTTATCCTCGGTGGGTTCTTGACTAGAAAGCTTGCGTTTGCTCGACTTCATTAGTCCTACATGAAGAGAGTTGCCTTTGACCTCAACTTGGACAAGACGAGTCTCCAGAAGCCGTGGCCGGTCCTGTACGAAGACCTCATTGATCAACCTCCGAAACGATCAACGCCCGGCGATGGTCAATAATGGTTTTCCCAGCAAAGCCTGCGCCAACTGTCAGAAGAGAAAAATCAAGGTAAGCAGTATTGATGCAATGCCGGGAAACTTTTGTCAAGCATGTGAATAACACCTTTTGAATCAGTGTGATCAAAGCAAACCGGCATGTCTCCAGTGCGTCAAGGCTCACTGGTCTTGCCCTGGTTATCGGTCAGGCATCGACCTCTATTTTCGTGATGAAACCAAAGGCGTCACACGGAAATACCAGGCCTATCGACCCAAGTACCCCCACATGTCGGCATCGGATGCAAGCTCTGGGCGATGTTCCCCCAATTCGAATGCCTCGAGTCCAGACGTATCACCGTGCAGGCTGGACATGGACGTGATGACGCGAGCAGTCTCGTTCTTCTTTTCTCAATATGTGCACCAACCCCTGGCATCTTCCGAGAGATTCCAACCTGGACCCCTTGAATACCTGCCGTCTCTGTACGCACAGAGTCGGCCGGATGGTCCCTTGGTTACGATCGCGCACGCTGCTGCGCTCGCTAGTTTTGCTAACGCTGGGAACGTTCCAAGTTGGATGCAGGAAAGTCACCGTTTATTCGGGCTGGGGATTCTGAAATGTAGACATGCACTTGCGAACCCGGTAGATGCAAAGTCAGACGACGTCCTTGCCAGCATTATGCTTCTAGGGATATATGAGGTGAGCGTTCAAAACTTGCATGAACCGAGAGGCGGCAAGTAACATGTGAGCGGCAGACTATTGCCCTTAAAGGACGCGAAGCTATGAGGGCTTGGAGTCAGCATATACTTGGCGCAGCAGCTCTTATCGATTTCCGTGGTCCCAGCCAGTTCCAAGACAGGGTTAGCATTCAAATGTTCCTGCAGATTCGGCGCCTCATAGTAAGTGCAGTCTCATGTCATCTTGCACCTGACGCTCGCCGGCTGCAGAAGAAGCCTACTGAATACAATCGCTCCAGGTCCTTTCAGCATATCAGCTACAGAAACCTGTGCCTTTTTCTCTTAAGAAGTGGTCGACATGGTTGGAATGCGCCCATGTTGGAGGGAATTGCGAAGTTGTCCATCTTTCTAATCGGCTTTCGGAAATTGTCGAGGTACTCGCATCTGTTCGGTCACTGATCAGAGCATCCCAGGCACGAGATATTATTGACGTCTCATCCATGCTTCTGCCAATCGATAGCATGCTTCAGAGCTGGCAAGACCAGCTCCCCATGTCGTGGAGGTCCAGATCTCTTCCCGTTTGCTGTCTTCAGGACTGTTCCCTACACAGCCATTTCGAAGGAATGCCGTTTGAGGTCTATCCCAATCTATACATTGCCTCGCTCTGGAACAACTATCGTGGCGCCCGTATTTTAATCCACGAAACGCTTTTATCCATGGCAATCTCCACTTCTAACACAACCGTGTTCGATACCAAGCAACTATGCGCAACCATCAATATCTTGCGCCAGATGACCGCTGAAATCTGCCTGAGCGTTGACTACCATTTGAGACCAGGCCCGAGTGGCTCACCATACAACTCCAGTCGTTATCAGAATGATATAGTGACGGACTCAATTCCAGGTAGTGAACTTCTTCTCTGGCCTCTCTTCATGGCTGGCATGTTACCTACGACAAACCCTGAACGAAGGACTTGGATTTCGAGTCAATTAAATCGAATTGGGACCAGCCTGGGCATTAGACTAGCCCTTTCGATGTGCCAGATCTTGTGCCACCAAAGAGACACGATTCCCTTCACGCACAGCGAATTGTGGGCATATAGTGATGATCACTTTGAAGGTGTGTGCTACTGAGAGAAAGCTAATGTAATCAATTGAACTGCCTGCATCTCTGAATTTACGGATCAGAGCTCGTGTCGGATATTTGATGCCGGAGGCCCCTGAAGACAGGCTACCTTGCATCCTCCTCCCCTTGTCGAAATAAGTGATTGGTTGACGGTAAGGTGAAAGCGGTTACCGAGCCTCCGCTCGCGGACCTTTATTGGCTGCTCCGCAAGGCTAACCAACAATGGACTGGATTCCTATCCTCACCGTTTTCAATGGCCGTTGTTGCTAACGACAAGCGAACCGAATCGGGGTTGCTATGGGCACCGCTATGCTCTGCAGCATGCCACTTGGCTTAACAGTCCTGTGTGCCAAATTCACCTGTTGAAGTCCCTACCACTGTCCGTCTGAAAAGAGGAACCTCTGCATGCTACAAATAGAAGGCAGCACCTTGAAATCAGCGATGTTGACATATACAATTCCAGCGGCTATTCTTGCTACGTCAAGAGCCAGAGACGAGCCGGCAACTTTCGTCGTTTTCCTTCGCTGAGAATATGTTGCTCTCAGTGCTTCTGGCCCCGATTCTCGGCTTCTGCTGGGTTACGCAGGGTGTCAAGTTGCCTGTTGTCGACCTTGGGTATGGGCTCCATCAGGCAATAGCATACAACGTGGGCAAGCATTAATTAGCTCCCTGAAATACGAGTTGGTTGACCATTTACAGGACTCTTTGGACTTTTACAACTTCTCCAACATCCGATATGCTCGGGCCCCAACAGGCAATCTTCGCTTCACGGCTCCCCAGCCTCCATTGACGAACAGAACTGTTCAGAACGGCAGCTCCGGGGGAACCTGCCCTCAGTCATACCCTGTTTGGTATCTCTGTGGCTTGGCTCTGCTCAGCGGCTCCATCAACTCCACCAATGCATGTGATGCTAGCCTCATTCCCAAGCCTGACTCCACAGAACGAGAGGATTGCCTGTTCCTAGACGTCATCGTCCCCAAACAGATTTTTCCCAACGCCAGCACAAAACAGGACACAGGAGCGCCGGTGATGGTTTGGGTCTATGGAGGTGGATTCACTTTTAGCAAGAAATATGAGGATGGAAATCCCGCTGGCCTTATCCAGAGAAGCCGGGAAGAAGACCCTAGTGGCAAAGGCGTTATCTACGTTACCTTCAATTATAGGGTAGGAGTTCTTTCGTGCACGTCTTGCCTTGTTAAACATCTCTAACGTTGGATGGATTTAGGGTGGTGCATTTGGGTTTCTGTCAGGACCTAACGTCCAATCCAATGGGAGGGCCAACGCTGGTCTGCTCGATCAGCGAATGGCGCTCGAATGGGTGCAGCGCTATATTCATCTCTTCGGAGGCGATCCAAAGCAGGTCACCGTGTTTGGACAATCTGCTGGTGCCGGGTCCATCATGCACCAGATCACCGCATTTGCAGGCCTGAAGGGTCCTGCGCCTTTTCGGAGAGCAATTCTGCAATCCCCCGGATTTGAACCGTTCCCCAGCCACTGGGAACAGGACAATCTGTTGCAGAAATATCTCGGACTCCTTAACGTGTCGACGATCCAAGAAGCACGCCAGCTTCCGTTCGCTTCTCTCTCGGCCGCCAATGTGGAACTCGTCGCGGGATCGCCGTATGGGACATTTACATTTGCGCCCGCGGTCGACGGGGATTTCGTACCGTCGCTGCCTGGTAACCTTTTGGCACAGGGGAACTATGATACGTCGGTACAGATCATGACGGGCTTCAACGCCCACGAGACGCTCTACTTCACCGACCCGGACAGTACCAATAACTCAATCTTCGTGTCCAGCATCTCTAGCACGTTTCCCGGCATCCAGCCCTCGGTGGCCAACTACGTGGCCCAGGACCTCTACCCGCCGATCTTCAACGGAAGCTACCCTTATACGTCGTTCTATGAGCGGGCCGAGCTGACGCTGCAGGAAAGCGCGTTCACATGCAACACGTTCTTCCTCCAGGAGGCCGCGAAGCTAGCGGCCGGGTACGGATACCGCTTCAGCGTCCCGCCTGCCTACCACGGTCAAGACGTGGCCTACACGTACTACAACGCCGCCACGGCAGGGCGCGGCGTGAACGCCACGATCGCCCTGCTCATGCAGCGGTTCTTCACGCGCTTTGCGCTCAGCGGCGACCCCAACCGCAAGGGCGACGCGGTCACGATCCCTGTGTACCAGCCATCGAGGGAGATCCTAGACCTGAACGTGACGGGTCTGGACGTGGTCCCGGATCCCAACGACAACGCGCGCTGTCGGTGGTGGCAGAAGTCTCTGTACTACTGAGGTGAGAAGAGAAGTTGTTCGGTACAGCCACGAGAGGAGAGGGAGGAGCAGTTCCGCTAATAAGCAAATCGTCTTACATGACTTTACGCTATATGCGTAGAATGTCCACTATCAGTTACTCAGAGCGTACTTTTTAATGCACGGGACCGTAATGGCGGAGTATGTAGTATCTAACCTGGCGATTGATGGCCATTCTTACATATTCGAACGGGCGCTGGCAGTGGAGTCCCGGAGCGTTTGTCTATTAAAGGTAAAGGCTGTCTTCTCTGCTTGTTCGCCCATGCCTTGGTTCAAAGGCTATCGGATACTATAGTCGATCTTGTTGGTTTTGTCTATGTGACCTCGAGGATCGAACACGGAGTTCCAGTTCGAGCGGCATGCTTCGCGAATGTGGTCGTTAAATACGAGTTCGGCCATGGAATAGATTAAAGGCTGGCGACAATAAGCTATAATGGTATCTCTGAGCTACAAAAGCCAAATAAACACAACGGCCACCTACGTCTCTCACATGCGCCCAGACCATGAAGCCGATCAGTGCTTGCCCTCTGTAAACCACGCGGTCGCCTTGTCGATAATTGCCTTGCCGCCAGTTTCAATAACGTCTCCGTGGCAAGGAATGACTCTGTCATAGTCCCATTGCTTGACTCTCTTGGCCGACTCGGCGAAACTCTTCCTATCCTTGCCGGCAGCCGCGTACCAGAGAAAGCGCTTTTGCCAGGTCATCTCGCCCTTGGTGTTCATAATGCCGGCGAAAAGCTTGGTCAGGATACCGGCATTCGGATGCATTCCCGTCTTGGAGTACTGCTCGGTGGCCGGGAGGTTGAAGAGCAAGTCCGCCTCAATCATGGTCCTGCTGGGCTTATGGAGGAAGACGAGCTCCTTGTTGGTATGGGAGTCGAAATACTCGTATGAGAACTCGGTGTCGAACTCGGGAGTGATGTGCATGTCGAGCTTGTTCTTCGCAGAGAAGACATGTGCGAATTTTGTCCCTTTTGTGGCCGGATCGCCCTCCCTCTTCTCCGGCAGCCCTTCCATGCCAATCACCTCTGCTTCGGGATATTCTTGAGCCCACATGGAGAGGAATATGTGGTGCTCGATATCCGGCGCAACGATGTATTTGATAGGACCCATAGATGTGACTTTGGCCTTGACATCCGGTGTGAGCGCCACGGGGGAAAAAACGGCGACGTTGCCCGTCTGTAGCTTGACCAATGTACCCCGACCGCCAACCTTGATGTGTCCGAACCGCAGGAAAGGTACACTGAGCGTGGTGATGTTTGGAGTGACATCTCTGATGACCATGACCTTCGCCGGATCAGCGGGGATCAAAGAGGAAGAAGATTTGGAGGTGGACATGGTGAAGGCGCAGGTGAGGAGTAGTGCTGTGTGGTAGAGGTATTCGACCTATTTGTAGAAGTTATCTGACTTCTAAAGAGAGGCGCTGGTGAAGAAGGGAAACTCGCATTGAACTGCAGGGAAATGTCTCCTGATATACTTTTTTCCTTCCTGAGGCCTCGTATACCAGGTATCAAACCTTCGTATCGATGTTTTCAAATTGTCTGTGGCTTGCATTACCAAGTCATTCGGTTGACTTCTCCATGGTGCACATGGTTCAAGGACGAGACAGTCAAGAGGCCAGGACGTCATGCAGCTGGTGGAACTGCGCCGGCACGGCCGTTACTTCAAAGCAAGACGATGCCTATTGCGGAAGAGCTCCAGCGTTTCCTCGGCTCGTGGGTTGTAAAACTGTCATAATCCCTGCAAGTAAAACTTACTCACAGCTTCATACTTATCAAGTACAAGTACTACCTGGGCACCCCCCGGCTCGCCGTGGAAGTTAGTAATCACCCATAGTGCCTCACTAGCCGTTGAGGCTAAAGGGTTTAGCTCCTTGAAATGGGTCATGTAATCCGCAATACCGAGTACCTTGTACCTTATTAGGTACCGTACTCTGTATGATATGAACTATGAAAACCCAAATCGCCGACGAGATACTTCTCTCTCTTTCATCTCTCTTTCGTCGGTTCTCCATAGTGCGGAGTGAGCGCTGACCGTTTTTGGAACCCTCTTTGGTACAGGCAAACAGTCATACTTAGGCATATCCTTCCTATATCTCCGGTACGTGAGCGAGAGACAATGTGGAAGAAATTGAATCCAATTTCCAATGCCGTTGTGGTTGGTTGTTCTATTCGTTCCCAGGCTGAAGATGAGGATCTATCTTGTACGAAATGCTTCTTGAAGACGCCAACTACTTGTAAAACTCAAGTGGTATTGCATGCTCGTTATGAACGCTGCTGCATTCTCTTCATCCTCTTGAACATCTCTTTTTCCCCTCCGCTAACTCGTCAAATGTAACGGGCCGCGCATTGCAAGTCAGGCTGATCCCCTCCTTCTCGAGCTAACATTGCATTTCCTTGCTCTGTTCCAGCCCGTGTTTCTTTTCCTTCCTACTGACTATTTTCTTCTTGTTTTGATGTGCCTCCGTCTCCCTTCTCTCCTTGACGTTTCTAATTCGTCTTGTGGTTTTCAATGTGGATATCTTACACGGCCATACTCACGCCGTCCGCCTCGCCCGAGTTTACTGTCTTGCCAGTCTTTTTGATCTTCTCCAGCACGGTCTCGTACGAGACCGAGTCCTCGGTCGTGACGTCGGCGGTTTGTGTGTCGAGGGAGACGGTGTAGTTTTTGACGCCTGGGGAATGGTCTTAGTGTCAATACGGAACGTCTGGGGATGGCGCGAGCAAGGGAAATGAAAATCAAGAGGTAGAAGAGGGTGGGAGGGCTAGAAGGGACACGGTGGCATGGAAGAGGACGACTTACCGTCGAGTTTTTTGAGCACGCGTTCCACCGCGCCGGAGCAGCCGCCGCAGGTCATTGTCACGTTGAACTTGTAGTGGTGTTCAGACATCGTGAGTGATTGTTTTTATATTAATTTACGTATCTGGACAGCGGTTTAGATTGCGTGACTAGGTGAGACCGCGAATGTAGCGATACACGGGAGGAATCGAGGGCGTAAGGGGAAATAGAGAGATGCCAGGTTCGTAAGCGAGGCGGCGGGCACGCGAAGACGTTTATATAGAGTACTGCTCCAGTAATGCGATATGCGAAGGCCAAGAGCGGTGCGACAATTGTGCGTAGCGCAGGTTGGGTGACTTAATGCGAAGGCTGAAGCCTAAGTACTGAGTTCAAAACAAAGGGGTTGTTGTCTGTTGTTCACTTATGGCGCTCAATCACGCGAAAATTGCTCGTTCCTGGGCGGGTAGGTTTTGAATTAGTAAACCTGCTCAACGCGCAAACGTGGAGCAGATGTAAAACGAGACTGGGATGAGACACCAATGGGGGCGGTGAAGGATGGGTGTGAGATCACCAGGCTGAGGATTCGGGTCCCAGGCCTGGCGAGGGGCTAGGGCGCGCGAGGGGTTGGGGCACCTTTGGGGTCTTGGGCTGGTGGGCACCAAAACCACTCTTCCAGGGAGTGTTGCTATCTTTAGGCGCTCTTCGGACTCCCTATTTCTGAGATTATTGGACTTGGGATTGCGTGATCGGTGTTCTTTCTTTCTAATAGTTATGACGAACCGGACAAATCAAAGTATCTGGTCGGGGGTCAACAGAACTAATCCCAAAGAGACCTCTGAGCATGATTTATTCTACTTGAACCCCCTCCCCCGGCGGGGCTACTAGGCCTCACCAGCCAAACCCCTCGAGCACAACGCACCCGGCCGAATTGAAAATAAGAACAGGAACCCCTTATCGACGAAAGCCACCTCTGTTCCAACAGCGAAGGCATTCGAGTTGCCACTTGGGTATTTTTCGATTCAGCTTGTCACGTCCAAGGCGCCTCATGAGAGGCGACACTCACCTCCACTTACCCCAAAAGGGCTGCCAGCGCCACAGTCTGTTTTCTCGGTGCCGTGTGTAATTGCAATGGTAAATGTTACTCGGCTTCTTGACAACCATTCATGATTTTGGCCGGAAAAGGGTTTACAGCCCGCGGAGCCAAGCAATTTGGACAATGGGTATGGCGCCCTCTGGGTTGCTGTGTGCATACTCGGCCGTAACAGGTATTTGGAAATCCAGCATATGGGCTTGGCTGGAGCACTGTATGAGACGAAAACTACTAGGTATCTTTCAGCATATTGATAAACACGCGTCTGGTGAATGACGTGGTAATAAGCATACCTGTGAATAGGAATTGGTGTCGTCGGTGTGGACACAGATGCAACTTCCAAGTCGTTGGACCAAAACGCGGCCACGAGACCCAGAAAGTCGAAGACTGGTTTTACCTTCGATGACGCCTGAGATGCTGTCTGCCGGCGACCAGGGGGCTTGCTGGGTGTCCCTGAGGATAGCAAAGACGGAGAACTCAAGACAGGGCGGTTTCAGTGTCAAGAGTGCTTCAGAATGATGATGTAAGTGAGGTGAAGGTGAAGGTGAAGGTGAAGGTGAAGGTGAAGGTGAAGGTGAAGGTGAAGGTGAAGGTGAAGGTGAAGGTGAAGGTGAAGGTGAAGGTG